GACCCTCTAAAAGGATGCAAATGACCAGCTGTCTGCAAGGAGTATCAATCCTTCCCTTCCCCACCATCCAGTCAGAGCTGAAGAAGCTTCTTGAATGAGAAGCGAAACGTATTTAAAGAAGACACAAATAAACCTCCAAGTGGCCTCAATGACCCTCTAAAAGGATGCAAATGACCAGCTGTCTGCAAGGAGTATCAATCCTTCCCTTCCCCACCATCCAGTCAGAACTGAAGAAGCTTCTTGGATGAGAAGCAAAATGTCTTTAAAGAAGACACAAATAAACCTCCAAGTGGCCTCAACGACCCTCTCAAAGGATGCAAATGACCATCTGTCTGCAAGGATGATCAATCCTTCCATTCCTCACCATCCAGCCAGAGCTGAAGAAGCTTCTTGGATGGGAATTGAAACATCTTCAAAGAAGACACAAATAACCCTCCAAGTGGCCTCAACGACCCTCTCAAAGGATGCAAATGACCATCTGTCTGCAAGGATGATCAATCCTTCCATTCCTCACCATCCAGCCAGAGCTGAAGAAGCTTCTTGGATGAGAAGCGAAACATATTTAAAGAAGACACAAATAAACCTCCAAGTGGCCTCAACGACCCTCTCAAAGGATGCAAATGACCAGTTGTCTGCAAGGAATATAAATCCTTCTCTTCCCCACCATCCCGTCAGAGCAGAAGAAGCTTCTTGGATGAGAAGCAAAATGTCTTTAAAGAAGACACAAATAAACCTCCAAGTGGCCTCAACGACTCTCTGAAAGGATGCAAATGACCAGCTGCCTGCAAGGAGGATAAATCCTTCCCCACCATCCCGTCAGAGCTGAAGAAGCTTCTTGGATGGGAAGCGAAACGTCTTCTAAAGAAAAAAACAGAAAGCGCAGTTGCCTCTGGAAAAATAACACCTTTGAGACAACCTGGACGACTGAGTATCTCCACAGAAATTCCTACCTGGAAATATTCGGCACAGCCCAAGGCTGCCCAGAGAGAGGACTCACCCAAAGTGGTGGGTTTGATGAGTTCGTCATAAACGTCGTAGAAGGGCAGCCGGCGCATCTTCACGTCCGGATGGACCGGGTGGATGGGGGGAGACAGGTGGGGCACGTCGGCCTCGTGTTTGGAGCCCAGCATCGGCACAGGGGGCAGCATGCTGGATGGCACTCCGGACACTACCCCTCCGTTGTCGTAAGGCAGGTGGCACATGGCACCCTGCGTCAACGCCGTGGCTGAGGGCAGCTGCCCGGCTTGGAGGTGGAGCATGGACAAGTCCGAAGGGGTGAGGATCTTGCGGGGGAAACGCCTCCGGTACAACTCCTTGATTTTCATCTGGACGGCGGAGCTGCAGCCCGACTTCAGCAACTGCAGCGCCTTGGTCAGCAGCTCGTGTTTCCGCCCGCTCTTGTTCCGCCCGGCGAAGCCCAGAAGCACCTGCAGCTCCGAGACGCGGAAGCTCATAACCATGTGCTGGAGGACAAAGGAAGATTAAGGGGACAATTAAAGTGCGGATAACGTAATTGTATTTAAAAAAATGAAGAAAGAAATATATTAGATAGTCCTCAACTCGCAACAGTCCAATGAGTGACCGTTCAAAGAGAATAGAATAAGAATAGAATAGAATTGGATAATAGAATAGAATAAGAATAGAATAGGCAATAGGAGAATAGAATAGAAAATATGAATAGAATAGAGAAAATGAATAGAAAAGAATAGAAAATTAATAGAATAGAATAGGATAGGAGAATAAAATAGAAAAGAATAGAATAAGAATATAATAGGCAATAGAATAGGAGAAGAGAATAGAAAAGAATAGAATATGAATAGAATAGGGAAAATGAATAGACTAGAATAGAAAATGAATAGAATATAATAGAAAATGAATAGAATAGAATAGACAATAGGAGAATAGAAAAGAATAGAATAGAATATGAATAGAATAGAATAGAGAAAATGAATGGAATAGAACAGAAAATGAATAGAATAGACAATAGGAGTGTTTCTCAACCTTGGCAACTTGAAGATGTCTGGCTGGGGAATTCTAGGAGTTGAAGTTCAGACATCTTCAAGTTGCCAACGTTGAGAAACACTGCAATAGGAGAATAGAAAAGAATAGAATAAATATGAATAGAATAGAGAAAATGAATAGAATAGAACAGGAAATGAACAGAATAGAACAGAAAATGAATAGAATAATCGAATAAAATTATAGAAGAGAAGAGAAAAGAAGAGTTGTGGAAGGCACAGTGGAGGTCTTCTTATCCAAACCTCTGCTCAGGCAGGAAATCCTACACCACTTCAACATATAAAATTTCCAGTGTTGGAGCATTCACAACTTCTGGAGGCAACTTCTGTTCCACTGATTCATTGTTCTCACTGTCAGGAAATTCCTCCTTAGTTCTAAGTTGCTTCTCTCCTTGATTAGTTTCCACTCATTGCTTCTTGTTCTACCCTCAGGTGCTTTGGAAAACAGCTTGGCCCCCTCCTC